GAATGCCTGCACAATGAACCAGAAAACTCTGTGCTTTTGGGCTTTTGTGATGCGGCAGGTGGCAGGTGCCTGCTCAAAGATTCCTGTGTGGCAGGGATACACTCGTACAACCAAATAAAACGTGACTCGTTGGCAACAAGTAAACCGAAAACTCCACTACCGTCATGAAGTGTGGCAACGCTGCTGCTGCAGCTAAAACAATTACAGTTATTTTATGAGTTTGCAGAGCAAAACCAAAGGCAAAGTCAAAGGCAGGGAGCATCAGGCAGCAGGCGGCAGGCGGATGCAGTGGAAAAGCCACTTCATTTTCCAAAGAGAGCGGAAATTTAATGAGCAACGCCCTCACAATGATGCCTTGCTGCCTTCTGTCTACTGCTGCCTGCTGCTGCTGTTTTGTGGCATCTAAAGGGTGTGCACGAACCGAGGAGAGCAGAGCCACACCCAGGCATTCATTGCTGTAAATCCTATCAAGGAATAGTGTACCTCTGCAGAATCCAAATTATATCAATTTTCAAGTATCGACAAATTGATTATTTCAATTTTGAAATATCGATAAATCAATCAAGAATATTTGTATGATCGATTATACCTCGATATCAACCATCAAGCTAAAGTCTAGCAATAATCCACTGATTAAGGGGTATTCTTTTATTTTATACGATTTTATCACTTGAAAATGCCCCATCAAATTTCTCCCTGAGGCAACACCAGGCACACACACACACACAGGCAGTGGGGCATCATCAGGGGTAGAGCCAGAGCCAGAGCTAGAGCCCCAGAGAACTAGCTGCTCGCTGTTCGCTTTTGTAATGATGCGTTTAGATGATTATGAGCTCAGAGCCCCGAAGCCTCGTAGCCAAATTGGAGCATAACCAATGGTGGCTGGAGCCATAGCCACAGCCACAGCCACAGCCTAGCCATCATTTTGGGGTCATTTTTGCAGCCGAGGAGGTGCACAGCACAGCAGAGCAGAGTTGCAGCGGCAGGCATTGCATTTGAAGAACTGCATCCATCTGAAGCGTGCGCTAGGACATGCCTCGAGAGTCAAATATAATTGAGTTGCCGTCTGGGGTGTCTGTTTGTGGCAGGAGGAGGCTAACACAAGATACTTTAAAGTGGTTGCTCGGTGGCTGGCAGCATGCCTCAATGGTTGTTTCAGTGCTAAACAGACCGTTTATTGCATTTAGAGCGCTATGCAACACTAATGGACAGTAATGGACAACCAAAAAATGTGCCATTTGTGTGGCTCCACGACGGAGAGGATTTACAAAACTTCCAATACAATGAAAGACAATTTTCTTCTACATGGAAAATTCCCAGAAGTTTTATTTTCGGTTTAAATCAAAACCTTAAGTAATTGCAAGTGCTAGGCAGGCCTTTTGCCTGGTTTTAGGTGCCCTTTCAGTGTTGAGCAATGCCACATGTGTCAGCTGACAATGCAGTGCTCAAAAAAGAAATTGTCTGACTTTTGCAGCGCTAAAAAAATACTCTTCAAAAATTGAATCTATCAAAAGCAAAACTTGCAGCACTCTTTCCCTCCAATTATCGCATTGTTTTTCGCATTTCTTCGCTCTGCCAGCAGACCTCTGCAAATGTCTGTTACTAGGCCAGGCTTCAAGCTTCAAGAGCCATGTGCTGCATGAACGACTGCAGTTGCCTCATTTTTCAAGCTTAACCCCAAGACATGCCACTTTCACATAAAAATAAGAAACAAAAAGCCAAGGAAAATAATTATAAATTTAAGCACCGAGTGATGGTCGCAGCTTTGAATACTCTGTTGATTCCATTAGATCTGAAGTTTGCTCTGTTCGGCAAACCCTTCCTATGTCTGCTGGTACCCCTAAATGGAAGATTGGCAGCAACAAATTTCGCATAAGCAAATGGGTACATCCGTTATGAAACGAATAGCACCCATGGAATATGCGGGCAAAAAGAAATACCAAAAAATATATCCATATCACAGATTCATCGGCTTTTATTCTATAAAGTTTTATTTCATTAAAAATACAACATTTCAAAAATATAATATTTAATTATTTGTTTATTTAAATAATTGAACTTCAATTTTTTTATAAAAAAATGATTATTTTTTTTAACTTTTGAATTTATGATTTATTAAAATTAAATTTATTAAATTTCGATTTTAAATGCATCAAATGATAGGAAAACTCGATTTTTGAATTATTGAATTTTTGCTTACTAAATTTGCAATGGGGTAAAATTGCCACTCACACGTGCACGTGAAATTCACAGGGAAGTGGATTCGATTCCACTTTCATTCGCAGGGCACAAATATCTCTACGAAAACAATAAAATTATGTATGTGGTATTCCAAGCAAACAACAAAAAACAAAAACAAAAAAAAACTGTGGCCACAACCAACTGTTGCCAGGTAACTTGTGCCCCGCAGACCCCACACACTTGCCCCTCCTTTTGTTTGCGCCACTTACTAGCAAATCAATCGGCAGTTGGCAGCATAATTCAAGGGGCAGGCACCAGGCCAGCAGCAGCCTAATAGAAATGCGGCAACGTCGCTAAAAACTTCAACATCAAAATGGGTAGCAGGCGTAGAGGGGGACGGATTCCATGTGGCATATCAATACTTCCATCATTTGCGGGGTTTGGGGGGTACAAAAACAAATTTCCCCTAAACGAACCGACATGAGGGATCTGCAAGAGCTACCGACTGTATTTCTGGCTAAAAGGGCACATCCCCACCCCGTCCTACGACTTCTTTCCCTCGACTTTTTCTCCGTTGCCGTTCGTTTAATTTTATTGCCTAATTTTCAACTTTGATTGCTGCCACCGCCTCCGACAGCCCACCCAGTCCTGCGGCTCCACCAATTCAATTTTCACGCTCGTTGACATTTCTTTTCTCTGAGATTTTCTTATTTTCACAACCATTTTTCCCGGTCCAACGCCCAACGCCCATCCCACCATCCCATCCCCCCACCAAAAGTATAACTTTCAATTTCATTGCTGGCCTTTCCGTGGCGTTAAGGAGAGAAAACGAGAAAGATTATAATCAATTTTTATATATTTTTATGTAGCATTTTTATTTGTGGCTTAACGGCCCAGGAGAACAGGGGAGATTTCACACCAAATGGGGAGTATATTAAACGCTTCATTTAGCCCAAGGAAAAAAGCCAAATGGCAGGAAAATAAAGGCATGGAATGGGAATGGAATATATTATATTTATTTCAGTGTTTTAAAAATGAATTTTTTAATGTTTCTATTTACTATGCCATTTTTGCTCTGAGTGTAGCATCATCACGCACACACGACAAAGATAGATAATATATAGATAAAGTATCTGTCTAGCCCTTCCCCCTCCCACGATTGAGTATCTTTTTCGGGTCTGGGGAGGGGGCTTGAAACTATCATTAGCATCCACAAGAACAAGAAGTTTGCTTTGTCTTTTGGCTTCCACTTGGCTTCGTTGCTGCGTTGCTTCTTTCTGCTTTGATTAAATGTTGCCAACGACAACCGTCGCCGTTGCAAATCGTCAGCTCTTTTTCGTCTTGAATCTCCCCCCACCCTAAACCCACAATAATCACTCTGCTCAGCCAATTTGTGGCGCACATCGACATCGTCTTGTTCCACACACAGATGCAAAAAAAAGAAACGCAAAGCAAAATGAAGTGGGCAAAAAAAAACAGGCAATATTCACCAAAAACCGAACGGAAGTGGGAGCCAAAAACCAGAAGAAACAAAAAGAAAGAATTGAGCTGTATTCTAGCCCTATTCCTCTCCCTCTCCCCTTTCTCTTTCTCTGCTGTTCTTGCTCATTACGTCTCCAATTTTTTGTTCTTTCTTACCCATCATCTATCTCCAGGGGCAGCTGCCTTCCACCAAGCGATGCTCCCAGCAAAAGAGATCTCACAATATCGAGCTAATATTTTCCATATTAGCCCTCGATCATTGGATTAATTGAAAGCAGTATTAGTTGTTCGATCATCATTCTCTCCCCATAGATTTTAGCTCGTAATTTTCATGCATTTTTAATCATTTATTTTTCTCTTATAGAAATAAAACCGATTCAGATTTTATTCTTGATTAGATTCCAATTTAGAGTCATCGAAAATGATTATGTACTCTTTTAATGGAACACAACTATTTTCCCTGCAATGAAAATGTTGTAATTTTCAACCCCAAAAAATAAAAGAACGAGAAAATATTGTTGATAAACAATTAAATGAACGACAATTACGATTACTTAAACGATTCCATGAAAAATGAACGATAGACGAGTATTTCCTACCCTTTCCACCTAACTGCCCTTTCGTAATCTTTTGGTGGCGACTCCAAAAATGGGGTGGGGGGGGAGGGTGGTACGTGTTGATAAGACAGCAGGTGTATGCCGACGAAAACGAAAGTCAAAAACTGCCCCAAAGGCCACAGATAAGGAACTGCAATATAATGGACTTTTGTTGACTTTTTCAGAGAGTTTTGCCCTCTGGCTACCCCATGATTTACTTTCAAAATAAAAGTAAAAATCAGTTCCATTCCATCTGTTTGCTCAGCGAATAGATAGATAGGGAACGCGGCTTGGGTGGTGGCATGGGGCGACAGACAAACAAATTACAAACAAATTGTCAGCGTCGTTTCCTCATCGATTGCCCCCCGCGCCAGGCCTGCTCAAGGCGCCTTTCCTCTTCTTAAATAAGTTTTCCAACAACAAAATTAGTTTCTTCTTATCGGGTTTTCAGGTGGCGGGAGGGAGAGATCAGAGTTCTCTATTGATATGATACCCTGTGTATGCATACACACAAACACACCTGTGGGGCATTCACATTTCCTGGAACGTAGGATCGTTCGAAAAGGTCTCTGGCCTTGCTTCTGCAGCATTTTCTCTGTGTTTTATACTTTCCCCAAAAGAGTGGCAATACTATAAATTTAAAAACTAATTTAAATTTTAATTTTTGAGTGCAGTTTTTTTTATTTTCGTTGAGTTGGTAACATGATAATTTTCTTGTTTCTTTTTATTTTTTCTACTTACATGAGCAAAAAGCTTTTCTTTCTTGTGTGTTGGTTCTCTCTTTCTCGCTTACTCTCTCTCCCTCTCTCTCTCCTGCTTTCTCGCTGACGATAAGTTCTTTTGCAGGCGAAAATGGTTTCATCAATTGTTTAAAATGCAACCTTGTGCATGATTAAGCACATTTTCACTGGCATTTTCATAGTTTGCACTTTTTATTTGAAGAGTTTTTTTTATGGGATTTCATTTAAATGAAAATAAAACCAAAACATTTTCATTAATTTTACAGAAAATATTTTTTTTAAAAGCAGAATGCTCACTCAATCAGTCATTCAGCGCACTCAATCACCACTCGATTCAATCAAAATTGTTGTTGTCATGACAACTGCTGCCCGCCGCAGCCGCTCTTGCATTTCCTCTGCCACTGCCTCCCGGCCCCCTTCTCCCATCTTCTTTCCACTGATATACAAATAAAATGAAAAATTCATTCGAGCGTTACAATGAAAAATACCCGACCAAATTACTTTCAAAATTGTTGGTTTTTCTCTGTGCAGGGTAGGGTCTTTAAGAGCTGCAAGAGTTGCCATTGCGTTTTAAGAGCGTTTTTATAGCGTTAAAAAACGCGTATGTATAGCTGTCACAGAACCGCGAGACACGCTAGCGTGTCAGAGTGCATTTGAAGCGATTGTTACAGCATGAAAAATACACACAAGAAACACTTTTTTAAGAGCTGAGAAAAGCGACATGTGGCAGTATTGAAAACTTTGGAAAATGCTGAAAGTTTCAGCGACTTTTGCTGTATGAAATTCTAGCTAGTATCAAAAATCGCACGAAATCCTAGCCTAGGCGACTTTTGCAGTATAAAATTCTAAAAGTATTCCCATTAATCGCACTAGCGACTTTTGCAGCCTCAAAAAAAGTAGCAGAAGAAACGGTAGCGACTAACTGCATTTTGCATGTGGATTTTGTTGCTGTTTTTCTGATATCTCATGTGTTTTCTTCATTTACAGTTAATAACCATTTGCCCCTGTCCCTCGCCAACCCCCTTACATCTCCAGCACCAGCAGAAAAAACAACAGCAACTTCTGTTTCTCTCTCTCCACCCCTCGTTTTGGTCCATTAAACTGTTAGCAAGTGTAGAGGGAAGAGCGAAAGAGGAACAGAGGTGTGGAGAAAGGGGTGAAAAAGTGTGGGGGGGGGGAGGGACCACATGTTGGCACTTCTTTCTCTGCCTTTCACACTCTTAACCCTGCACAGACCCCAAAGTGTTGTCACATTTGTTGTTGTTGAAAATTGATTTGCTAATGATCCCCAGGGATCTATGGGAGGAGGAAGAAACAGAAAAATAGAGAGGGCTATAAGGCGGGCGAATGCATCCAAGTCCCAAGAGTGCCCCAAGAGTATATTATGTTCCGGTATATCTATTTCTGGCCTGTCTTCCTCCAAATATACCAAATTATTATGAATATGAAGAAATGATTTCTCCCTCTGAATGGGTTTTTTTATTTTCTGTTTTCCAAGGGAAATCGCAGCTTTTTCCATATATAATAATTTAAATTAAAAGATGATATTTCTAATGTCAAATCAATCCGTACTTCAAAAACTATAATTTGAATCCGTAGACTGAAATAAAACCACAAAAGTTAGGAAACATCCGATATTTGTGGTAGAAGAACACCCCCCAGAATCGTTGAACACATAAACCTTTGATAGATTTTTTTACAAAATAAGCTTTAGTTTGGAATAAATACGCTTGCATTTCTTAGTATAAAAATCTTTAAACATTTCGACAAATCGGTAAAACAATCTTCTTAAGCTTTTGCGATATTTTTCAAACAAACTTTGGCTACACAAACTTTTCAATTTACAATAAACATTGTGGGGACAAACTTGAATAAAAGCAAATATTACACAATATAGAATTTCGTTCGCTACTTTTGGGGATATGATTACAAAAGCATATGGCTATGGTTTAGTATTCTTGAAGAGCAGAGCACTTAAACAAAGAAATTCCCATAACAAATGTTGACGTTTCTTTGGAAAAAAAAATCCCAAACCAAAGAGTACAAAGTGTAACCATATATGGCGAGATCTTTTTTGTTTGGAATTATTACGTTTTTTGTTGTATTTTTTTTGCGCCCAAAGATAGTTGCGATAATTCTGAAGAATCTTTGACTGAGTCAGAGTGGAGTGTAGAGCGGACAGATCGGAGGTGAGTCAGTGCCTCCATCTCCGTCCCCCCACACCTTCGTGCAATGTACGACACACATTCCGCCGCGGGCCGCCGAACATACAAAATACAACAAATAAATGAAAAATTAACCAAAAAGAAATCCCAAACGACGATTTTCAGAGTGCTCGAACATTTTGTAGCTTCATTTGCATTTATTGCGAAAATTCGTGTGCTGCAAAATGGAAACTGAAACCAAAACAAACACCAAGAGAAAAATAGCTGTTAATGCGACCAAGGGAATACCCTCAGTCTCATTTGATGTTTGATTTATGGATGTGTCCCTACAGAGCACCTCAAGTGAGCAGAACAACGTTTTCCTCTTAACTTTGTTTGCGCTAATATAACCAGCGACATTCAACAAATATAAAGGGTATCGAAAAATACAAAGACCGCTTCGAGCAGCGCCAAAAAAACAACATGAAAACACAAACAAAACAGTGGCAGCGACAGCGACAGAGAGGCAGCGGCAGCGTAGCAGAAGCCGCGTTTTGCCCATTTTTGTTGTTATTTTCCTCCCTCACATCTTTTGTTTTTCTTTGATATTATGTTTGTTTTTCTTTTTACATTTTATAAAGAATTCAAATAAAATAAATGCCACACACACACACGGAAAAGAAGAGCTTTTTTTAATCATAAAATAATTAAAAATTTAGTTTTAGTTTGGTATTTAATTTGTTGTTTTTGTTTTTGTTTGGGTTCCCTTATCGTTTGCTTTTTGCACTCAAACTTAAGTTAATTACAATCTACACACACACACACTAACACACAGCCGCATAAAGAGACACAACACACATGTTAACAAATAACAATAACAAAAAGAATATTAAAAAAAATGCCGCGCACGAGACTTACAACACAAAATTCGCGAAATCGCATCGAAAATTGAGCGTAGAGACCGCGACGACGAGCGAACCGAACGACGGCGCAAAAGAGACAAGCCGAGCAGCGGCAGCGGCAGCAGCGACATGGCCCCAGCGACACAGCAAATGTTTCAAAGCAGCAGCCCCAATAGGCGTAAGAGAGTAAGCACAGCCGGTTGGTTGAAGCTGAAGCTCCCCCAAGCGCAGGGTACATTAGCGCGAAGGTAGGGCACTGCAAGAGAGTGCTCACTGTTACGTTACAGATTTCAGTGAGAGCGTACAAAACTACCACGAAAATGTAACTTGAAGAGCGGTAAAGCCGTTACCGTCGTAATAACTAACCCTGCCCTCTAGCAATGCTTACGCTCTCGCTCTGAGTTGACCGCTCTCTGGCTATCGCCATCTCTGTCTCTCACGCGCTGTGTGTGCTGTGTGGGCCGTCGTCGTGCGGCGAAACATGTGGTGTTTGATACTGTCGATGTGGAACGAGTTTGTTGGCGCTGCGTTGGCAGCGGAGATGCTGCCCACATATACAGTTACAGCATAAAGCTGTGGACTCCGCGACTGCATGCAAGTAAATTGCGCAAATGTGGGGGGGATGCACAGGGGAAATAAACATGTGGATTGTGTGTATGTGCGAGAGAGAGAGATCGCATTGCGGTTTGATCAGAATCCCAAACAAAAACAAAGCAGCAGCAACAAAGCTGTTGCATTGTTTTTGGTCAACTGCATTGCAGGTCTCGGCCCCATAGCCCTCCCTCCCCCACACCTATCATTCTTCACAGCAGCCACATAAAACGCGGCATCCACACACAACTATTAAAAGATGCACTGCAAACGCACCCAAAAACAGTGACAGAGGCAGCAGACGGCCGACGGCGACGCCAACATTGATGACTGTTAAGAATGAGGGGGTGGGTGTGCAAGTAAAACCCGAAGAAGAGAAGGGGTGATGTGTGTGTGCTAAAAGAAGAAGCAAACGAGGGACAGGCAGGCAGGCAGGCCACAAACAAGGCGAGGCCGCGCGATCGGTGCGGTACTTCACCTTTCTACCTCGACCCCCTTTTTACATTTCTTGACGACTTGCTTGGGTCCCATGCATTTTTATGCGTACACTGTTCAACAAAAGGTAGCTTTATTTTTTGTACATACATATGTATGTATGTATATGCAACAAACAACTTTGCACACCATCCACTCAGTAATATTTAGTTTATTTTTTTGAATTATTTTTCTAATAAAAGGTTTATTTTTTTTGTCTCATTCGCATGTCGTTGAGTGTAACGAATGCAGCGACGTTGGCCAAAAAGCTCAACGAAGCGTGATTGTTGACGAGGGGGCGCGCCAGCGCAAGAGAGCAGACAAGAGAATGAGCGACAAAACAAAGAGAGCAACACAACACACAACCAACCGATCGCTCGTTTTGCCAAGGAAGTGGAACGTATTTCTGTTTGCGTTTGCGTGTGTGGTGTGTGTGTGTGTGTGGACATTGGCATGGCAACTTGAACGTGGGAGAGCCCGAGCCCGAGCCCTACGCATTCCCCACCCCGCCCCCGCGCAAATCAACACACAAGTTTGTTTCTTTTGTTTGTATACACTCACTGGGAGAGGGTACTATGATTTTGATCAATTTTTAGTATTGATTCGGTCAAAGATCCGATTTGTGTTTCTTTTTTTATTCTGAACGGACTCGCAGGGAGTTCCCGATGGACTCGCAAGAGTATCAAAAGCTTCGGCCACCTTCTGCATTTGACTTTCGTGTCTCTTGTTCGTTTTGTTTTTATTGTTGCGCCGCCTTTGTTCTTCGCTTCGTCGATGCTGGCCCACTGTTCTTCTTGTTCTTTCTCTTGTTGCGGTATTCTTTTACGTTGGGGAATGGCCTCGACCGATCAAGCAGGTTGAGGGGACGATAAGTTTGGCAGAGAAAGAGAGAGGGCTGGGTTGCTTGGGGGGAGAGAGAGAGACAGAGAGAGCGCAGTTGTTATGGGAAGGAGAGATACCCCAGCTGTGGGAGGGAGAGATCGACCAGCTGTTGCTTTTGCTTTTGTTTTTGTTTTGTTTCTTTCCTTCTGTATTTTCAGAAAGCAGCAGAAACCGGCTAAAGCGGCAGCAGGGCCAGAGAGAAGTTGTATCGCAAGGAATGTAGTGCTCCTTAATGTCTCCCCATCCTTTGCACATTTCACAAATTACAGCTACCGCATTCTGTGGAAGGTTTGGCCGGAAATAAATCAAAATTAATGCTCGCAAAATTATTAATTAATATATGTAATGAATGAGCTTTTGAGCACAGCTTTTTGCTTAGACAGATGTTTTCGGCAGAGTGTGGGGCTAAAAGGCTTTGCTTAAATTATGATTTGAGGGGTGTTCATACAACAGGGGTAACAATTGCAAAAGAGAGAGTGAGGGAGAGTGACCCAAAAGAAAGGATGATTTTAGGTGGGGTAGTGGAATGTCACCAATCAGCTGATGGGTTTGCCAGTCACGTGTCAACGTTGCATGAGAAAATGCAATGGACAAATGAAGTAGGACTAGCAATGCAATTCCAGACAAACTCTAATAACAGTTTGTACCGTTATGCGACCCCAACCACCATAAATTGAAATACTATCGACAGTATGTCCCCCCCACACACACACACACACACACACTCGCTCGCTGTCCTTTGACTAGCATTTACCCTGGAGGCATTATCACCAGGCGATAAATATTTATATGGAAATGTAATGACTGTAACCGGGCCCCCCTCTATCCACTATCCACTACCCCTTATTCCACGACCAGTGTCCCCCCCGCCTTCGTTGTGCAATTAATGTCACCACATCCTTTGGGCCTTATTAATGTCCTTGGGCCGTCTCGCTCTCTCTCCCCCCCTCTGCCGCTGTGTGTGCAGGAAGGGGGGGGGTTTGATTTCGGTTCCAGGGGTTGGCTATTAATGTTTGGGCATCCCCATGCCAAGTAATACCCCTACCCTCCCCTACCACCAGTAGCCCGGTAAAAACAATTAATTTGCCCATAATGCAATTTATATCGGTTTCTGTTCTACGTTTTCCGGGGGGTTTTCCATTCCATTCCATCCCACTCTCTCTCTTTCGCTCCTTCTCCATCCCATCCTAGTGTTCCCTTCTTCCTTGGGCTTTGACTTTGGCTTTTCGACCACATAATGTGCATATTACTGGGGTTTGCGTTTCTGGTTTTTGGTTTTTAAGGCCAAATGATTAATTATTAACAGCAGCAACAACAGCAACACCAAATGCGAGAGGGACAATTCAGGCGGAACAACTGCAGAAGCAAATGCCACCACAAAGATATTTTAATGACCATGAAATGGTCACACTGAATGCAGTAAAAGGAGGAGGATTCCCGTAGAAGGAATAGCAATTGGAATGCCCTTTGAAGGCATTGTTGTGGGTTTTGGGTATGATTTTAGGTGCCCTTGTGCACAAAATATGATGCTCATTAAACTCTCATTAAACGCGCCATGAGGCAGCTCCTCTCGGTTGGTTACAAGCAAAACAAGCTTTGACAAGGAAAGAATGCAAATTAAATGAAGGAAAACTTTATCCATTCATAGATCTATCAATTCTATTCGATATTTAGGGAACTGTTTATTTTTTCTTTTTTTTTTAAAATTTAATTACTGTTTAAAGTATTTTCTTATTTGTTAATCCCAGAATCCTAATGAATTTTGTTTTGGTTAATAAAATGAAAGGTATACAAACCACAAAAGATTGTAATTCAATTAAATCAAATTGAAAATTAAATAATTTCAATGGGAGATACAGAAGTGGAGATATTGTAGCCCGTCTCCACTCTTCTGCCCGTCATCCGACTTGTGGTTTGTGGAGATTTCAGACCAAAGTTCACATCTGCACTTGAGTTTGCCTTTTTCTGACATAATTGGGCAGGCAGCGGCAGCTCCCCCGTGCCGTGCGGCGATGACAAGGGCCAGCCACCCACCACGCCCGCATGTCGTATGCCGTATGGTGGAGCTGCCAGACGAAGCGGAGACTCCACCACTGCCCACACTCCACCACTGGGAGCATATTCTCGCATTGTAAACAAACTGTCAAACCGGAGAACCGAGAAACGAGAAATGCTTGGAAAGCAACAAAAGAAATAAGGAAAATGTCTGTGTGTATATCTTGAGGCGAATCTTGAGGAAAATCCAAAAATTCGACTGCACTTGTCATACAAGATGATGCATGCAACATGGACACACTTGAACAAACAGTGTGGCACACAATTGTAAAGCAGTGGCAGTAAAGTACTAATCGATAAATTACCCACCAATTATCGCAAAAAATCGATAATAAATGCACATGTATTTGTTGATAATTAAGATACCAAACTCTCGTTTTTTCCTTAACCCACAAGCGATAAATTATTAGAAAACTAAACTTTGTGGATCACTTACGTACAATCAGCATTTGATTCATGATTATCGATTACTGGTTTATTGACCTTAATACAATTCAATCGATTACAGTTCGATCAACATACCAGTATATCGATTTTGCTTTTCACTCGATACATTTTTCGATTGCTTTCAGCTTCTATTGCGCTGCAATCGTAGGAAGTTTTCTTTCCCTTTCGATCCACATTTGCTCAATGGCTTTCCTCTTAAGAGAGAGCCATACCGATAGAACGATAGACCGATAGAAAAACTCACCTGCAAAGAGAAGAAAAAGAGCAAGAAAATTGAGTATAATTGAATTTCTCCGACTACACAAACAACAACAAAAAGCACTTGCTTAAAATAATTAAAAAGTTTTTCGTGAAAATTTTTGAAAATTGTTTTGAGGTTCCCAGAGGCCATTGATGGTGTCAAGCAATTGGCGGCAGGGCTTCCACGACCTTTCCCTCACTCCCACTTCTGCCACTTTTCTCCTCTGTGGGGGGGGGGAAGCAGCTTGAAAATATTTTTACGACTTGGCCGAACAAAAACAAGTGCCCGAAAAAAAACAACAACAACAAACAAAAACAATGTGCAGGACAACTGTAGTCCTGTAATTAAATAATGCTACTGTCCTTTTGGACATTCTAGCCCCCCTCCATCCATACAAGCACTTCAGAAGTAGGG